CCCTGGCCTCACAGATGTGTTGTGATAACGGACAACTACAAAGATGCGAAAAACAACAAAAAGTTCTGCCATCCTGGCCACAGCTGCTTCTGGGAGCCACTGTGACTTTTATACTTGGTCACCTTTTATACTATTTGCAGAAGCCACCCTCAAGGTCGTTTGGTGGCCATCCCCTGGTGAGAGTGTGCCGGGCAGACCCGGCCTCCAGCTGCCTCCTGTGCCTTCTGATTTTTTGTTAAAAATAATCAATTTCTCTGAGGTTCAGCTCTGTTCTTCTCAGGTCCTGGGCCACCGCCTGGCTTTTTAATTTGCATGGCATTATTACATTATGTACTTGTCAGGAGATATTTCATTAAGTTCCCGTAATGCGGCCATACTGCGTATTATCCAAACTGAAACAACCCTCTCTGGGCTCACTCATAGGCCAGCAGCCCAACGAGTTCTTTATGACTCTGCAGCAAATTCAGGTTCGTGGAGAGGATCGTAAAGTTAAGGATTCCCTGCGTGCACCCTTCGGGCTGTGTGGTTCTGGACGCCGCTAGAACGGTACTCCCAAACTCCAGTCCCTGGAGTGCCATCCAGAAATTTGGGTCTGCTGCTCTGCTGTGTCCGCTGAGGTTGAGGGCGTGGGCCTGGGAGTTAGGCTGGGTTCAGATCCCAACTACGTGCAATAGCTGCGTAATCCTGAGCGATGTGCTTGAACTCTCTTTGCCTGATTTTAATAACAGTGCCTCCACGCAGTGAGCTTGAGAGCATGAAGCACGTGGGAGGCTGGTAGAAGGGTGCCTGCTGATCACAAGCCCTGTCGTGGGAAGGAGGTTTGCAGTGCCGTCTGCCGTGGGAGACAGCTGTGTGGCTAAGGGGGTGGCCCGGGATCTCGTGCCCCCGTCCCCTGGAGAGCTGTTTCTGTGCTTCAGTTCACCCCGTCCCATGGCTGCGCTCCTTAGATTCCATAGCACGCGGGATCGCCCGCTGCCTGGGCCTGCCTCTCTGCCCGCCTCTTCTCTTCTCCTCTCGTCCCGTCGGCAGCATTCTGGTTTACAGCGGGCAGCTCTCTGAACACAGCACGCCATCCCATGCCTGGGCCCCGTCCCCACACACACCTGAAGCTCGCTGGGCCTCACCCTCCGCTGCTCATCTTCTAAACCAGCTAGGCAGAGCACCGTCTCTCCACAGCGTCCCCGACCAGCCTGGACTGCCTGCCCGGGGTGGCCCCCAGCGTACCCCCAACTATGCAGACTCCCATCCAGATAGCTCCTAAGTCTGGGGGTGTGTGTGTGTGCTTTGTTTATCTGTCTGTGTTCACAGAAGTCTCCCTGTACAAGACATGGGGTCAACAGTGTATCCCTTTGAGATGGATTTAGTACGTGTGAGACAAAATTAATTTGGTGACCCAGTGAGAGCAGGAGCTCCAAAAGAGGCCCACACCCTCTTCTTAAATCCTAGGGTCACGCCGTGCCTTTGCAGACAGAGCCTTCCTGAAGCCTGCTCTGAAGCTGTGCTAGAAAGGCACCTGCTGTCGTCACTTCTCATGGGGTGTGTGTTTGTTGTCAGCTGTTCGCTGTCCAAACTCTGCCGTCTTTAGACCCGACTGGGCGACGTGATGAGCTAGAGAGTGAGGGTCGGTTCAGGGAGCAGGAAGCGTCCCGAGGCCTGTCAGCCCGTGCACCGCCGCTCTGGTCTCCGCCCGTGGCTGTGAAACCTGGACAAGGAGAGAATGTTCTCCTAAGGGCTCGGCAGCCCAGCGAGGCGCAGGAGCGGCCAAGTTGAGCCCTCGCTGGGATTCGCGAAACAAAATGTCTGCCTGGTCTGCAGAGCGCAGGTTTCAGCCTGAAGACAAAGTGACACTACTCAAGTACGAGTCGCTCTGTGTTTCCCCTGAGCTGTCACTCACCTCCCACCCAGGCATCCAAACCGTGCAGTGAACACGTCACCGCAGCACTGGCCGCCCTGCGGGAAAGCTCGGGCAGTGACGACACCACGCTCCCTGCCGCCGCCTGTGTCCTCAGCCCTGGGCCCGCTGCTGGGATCCTGGTCCCAGACACGGGAAGGTGGGGCCGCGGCTCCCCCACCCCCTCTTTTGTTCTCTGGTCCTTGTTCTCCATTCATGGTCTTAATTCTCAAACTCCGTTTCCTGCCATGGAGTTCCATATGCATTTGATATAAACAATTTTAAAATTTTGTGACAGGACACAAATTTCCATGTGTTCTATACCATATTTTAAACACTTCAGAGACCACCTACAAAATCAC